AAGGAGGTCTTGCCATTTCTTCGCCTGGCAGCAGAATCAAAACCTTGGATGGTTTGGATTTTGCTGTTAAATACCCTACTAGCAGTTCAAAGAGAACAAGTCGCTTGGAACATGAGTAAAGGTTAGAACTGTAAAAAGCATAACGTGTGAGATGAGGCCAGCTGTGTGTGTGTTGTAGCAGTTAGCGTTAGGAGTTGTTTTGTGAGTTAATAATTGTGTTCCTACAACGTGCAGGAATCTGCAGAGTCCCAGAGGTCTGCTTTATCAGTAGGCAAGAGTTATAAATGCAGTGTGGAAGAGAACTGTGAGTATATTTTCAAATCGTTGCTCTTAGAAGTTGGCTACTGTTCATGAGCCTGTAGCAAAGATAAATATCTTTACTAAATATCTCTAGTAAAAAGATGAACACAGGGAGTTAAGGATCTAGGTTTCTCCTCGTCGATAGGTTTGAGCAGTAAGTTATAGATGTAGTAGTGCTCTTGGAATGACAGCGCCAGGCACAAAGATATTGAATGTATTTTAAGGGTATAGTAACTATTGCTGATCTTAAACTGCTGCTACCCTCGTTCTCCTCCCGTATTTGAACCGTTTGATATATTTATACTGTTCCATTTGAGGAACTATTTCCCTTATCTCCTCCCTTTTGCCTTGTTTCCCTTACTTTTACTGTGAAGGACTGTAATTCTCTTATTTCAGTGTCCTGTAACTTCCTTGTACAGCGTGTCAGAGTTTGTTGGGCTTGTGCACAATCTTCTTCAGTTGCTGGCTGTCCTTTCTTTTCGGGCAAGAACAAAGCTTTTCAAACTTGAGTAGGAAGCAGGTGAGAGATCAAATGCGTTCTGGCTGTGGTTCACTAGGTGCTTCCAGTTAAAATGCAGCTCTTCAGAAGTTGGTCTACAACAAGTCATCAGCTTAAACTCCAATCATCCTGCTGATTGTTTTTTTAGCGTTTGGGGGGGATTGTTTTTGTGTTTTCTCTTTTTGATGAGACAGGCTTAATCCCTGTCTCACTCAGTTATAGGGTAAAATTGTATTTGTAAGGGCCTAGGAGAGGAGCTTTATAAGAACAGGGAACGTGGATGTCTGTGAGCTTCTAGCCAACTTTTTTTATTCTAGTTGTGATATAGTGTGCAGTCCGTGGCTTGGATAGCTTCAAGTGATTCTCATGTCTCTTCTGCAACTCTAAAGGATGCTTCCATAGCACGAGTCAAACAGGCTTGTGTAGAAAAGAAGGAAGGAGCGTGTTTAACCCTGGGGAGTTCGACTGGAAGGTCCACATAAAGCTGGAGGTTGTGTAGCCCCCGTTTTGCATTTGCTGTTGACGCAGGGTCCTGCTTAAATGGGGTGGGGGCAGTCTGCTTTGCTTGCCCTCCCTGCAGCCAGGACTGCTTTCCTTAGGCTGAAAGGGAATTGGCATCTTGCCTGAGTCAGTCCCCTAATATCCTAAATTTTAAATGCCTACCTTTTTTTCTAAAGAGGGGAAATACTTAATTTACACTGCAAGTGATGCAAATAAGAATTAAAACTTATTGGCTTTCTGTTTCAGACATAGAGGTGACTTACAACACGCAGTGCCCGCTGCCTGGAGGCCTTTTACCCACCTTGGGCAGTTGTTGACCGATCTCAAGCTCTGTTGCAGGTATCCTCCAACTAAAGATAAGCTGAAATCTTGCTCCCTGGTGTAGCAGCACTCAGGTAGCACTCGGTGTCTCCTCTTCGGCTCCTGAGGCATTAGGGAGGTTGGTTTCTGTTTTAAACACCGCAGTGATGCTGAGCTCTGCACTGAGGCTTTAAACGGGGGCTCCTGTGTATGAGAAACAGATGAAACCCTTTGCAAATAATTTGGTGTGGTTTCAGGACACCTCAGAACCAGGCTTCGCTGGGCTCAGTGCAGAAATGAGATATTTCCCGGGACCGGTGAGCCCTGGTGAATAAAGTTAAAGACTTAAGTGGCCGTTCTCTTTAATCTTAACACTATTATTGTCATTATTTCATCTTTTCCCCTCTGTTCTCCCCACTTAAACAAGGAGGGTTGTTTGCATGGTGACACTTGGATGATTAAAATCCGTCTTGCCACCAGACCCCTGGTGCACAGGACGCTTGCTCTCTTTCCCCACCCTTTGCGTGCTCGGTAGTAGCTTTGTACCAGGTGGTTGAAGTATCCAAAGTCGCATTGTTCCCTTCCTTGCCTCGAGTCCTGGCGGGTTCTGGATCTGTGCTCTCGTTTACCCAGTGTCTGTTCTCCTGTAAAACTAGGGCATATTATGAATAGAGTGAGAATTTGCACTTTTCTGAAGTATTTCTGTGTGTATTGCTACGTGGATTTAGCTGAATGAAGTGTTACAGGTAATAAAATATTCTCTTCGTAGTAGCAATCCTTCCTGTTTCCTGTGTGTTTTTCTTTATTTATTCAAAGGGAATTGCCCCCAAAACAGCTGCCAGGTAACTGTCCCCACCTTGGACTAGGAACACGGACCGTGTGCCACCTGGAGGACTTGATTTGTGCCGTATATTGGTGGGAAATCCTCAAATCCTCCTACCCAGCTGCAGGTGGGTCCCTGCCACCCCAAACCTCACGGACAGCAGCGTTGCCTAAAGCTGGTGGGAGATTTCCCCTCCTGATGGTGTAGGATCCGTGAACCACGGTTTTTTCCTTCTTTTTTTTAGGCAGGAATCAGAGGAAGGAACAGCGCCCCATGTCTGCAGCTCCTGATTCCTCGGGATAACCTAAGACACTGTCTTCATAAATGCAGGAGAGAAAGGTTGGGATATATGGCACAAAAAGGAGATCGAGGGGACCACGTTCTAAGAAAGATGCAAATTGATCAGGTGCAGGCTTAGGAGGACGTTTGGGGCCATAGGGCAATTAAGAAGCTGATGTTTTGGGGTGAGTTTGTTGTAGGAACCTTAACCTCCCAGCAGGGAGCTGGCGAGGGGAGGGTGAGGCTGTTTGTGAGCCTGCAGGCTACAACTACATGATGCGCAAACACAAATTTGTACAAATTCGGTATTTTAAGGCTTCTTTAAAGCCGTGAAGGTTGGTATAGGGGCACAGCATCACACCCAGGAGGGTTCCTGCATCCCTTTAGGAACGGCTGCAGACCTCATCCTGGAGAAGTCTGCCCAGGAATTGTTCCTTTTTTTTCCTGCTTCCCAAGGCTGAAACCCCTCTGTTCCCTGCTCTGGCCTCCATCCTCCCCCTAGCTCACCAAAATTAGCCCCAGGAATGGGGCTATTAAAGAATTAATGACCCTCTGGAGCAAGGGGAGCAGTTTTCATCCCGTTTATCACCATTCCTCTTTTTCCGGCCCCGCGGTGCTTTTCCTTGCTGTGCTGGCCTTGGGCACACGGTGACAGCCCCGATCTGTCCTGTCCTGCACAGCCCCCCTAGGTCCCATCCTGGATCCGCACAGACAGCTCCAAAAGCACCGTTTTTTGCCCCATTTCGTGGCCCTGCCTTGCAGCAAGCAAGGGACAACTGCTGACCCTGCCTACAACCCAAACAGATCCGTGCCAAAACATGCAGCCCCGAGCCAGAAAACACATGGGGTTGGGGGAAAAAAGGGAGGAAAACCAAATTTGGGAGCTTGTGCTGGGTTTTGGGGCAGCTGGGGGTGGAGGTTTGGGGGTGCTGAGAGCACCCCAAATTTATCAGCCTCGCAGAGCCCGTGGCAGAAAGGGTCCGTGCGGAAAAATTGCAGCAATCAGCGCACCTCTGGGTTTATGCAACCAAAAAGCACGTTTTGAGCCTCGTTTGGCCAACAAGTCTCCATCTCCCTGATCCAGAGATCTGCCAGCAGGCCCCGGCCATGGGATAATCCTCCTGGATTGTCACCCGGGGGCTATGAGCTGTGCAGAATTACGTTCATGGTAACGAGACACGAGAATTACGCTCCTCCAGCTGCTTAATTACACAACTGCTCGCACCCCGTGCAAAATCGGGGGGGGACCAGGTCGTTTCTGCCCTGCAGGGTTTGTGGCCAGGTGTCCAAATCCACCCTCCTGCCCCTTTTATTGCTCAAGCACCGTGGTTTGGTTGCAAGGGGGGTTTGCAGGGGTGGGAAAATGGGATGAGGTGGGAAAGTGGATAAAGAATGAAGGCTGGGGTTTCTCCTCTCCGAATCTCCCCGGTAATTCATCGCGCGGGGTGGTGGGATGGTTTAACTCGCAGCCTTTTCCCCGGCTCGGCACGCACCCACCCTCTCTGCACCACCTCTCCTGTCCCTGCCGGCTCACCTGCCTCGGCACCGGGCTTGCAAAAGGGGGAAAATAAAAAGGGAGAAAATGCAAAGGGAGGAAACGCAAAGCACCCTGCGCCGGGTCCCGTCCTTCCCGGGGCTCTGGGCACGGAAAGAATTGCGCTGCCCCTTGGCAGAGAGCTGCTGGATGAACAGGAGCTGAGTGCACGCACACACACTGCACCCCCAGGGGGGGCAGAAAGCCCCCAAAACACCCCAGCTGCTTTTTTTTTCCTTATTTTTAAGCCCGACACCTGCAAAAACCCTGCAAACCAGCAGTGCTGCCCGGCATCCCCAAGCAGCCGGCGATACGGGCACCGAGGGCGCACCGAGGATGTCCCCAGCCCTCCGAGGATGCTGAGCCTCCGGGCACGGCATTTTAAGGAGCCACTTTCCACGAGCTCCGGCTTCATTTGGAAACCCTGCGAGTCGCAGCCCCGCGCTGCTTCTCCCTGCAGCTCTAGGTGCTCATGAATTATGGAACAAATACTCCAGAGCGCAAAATCGCTTCGGAAAGCTGCTCTCCGGATGATTTACCAAGCCCCTGCCTCCCTAACCAAGGCTGGCTCCGTGCACAAACCCCACCAAAGCGCCCTGCCTCCCCCAAGCAGCCCAGGAGAAGAAGTTTGGGAGCGCCAGCAAAACTCAGTGCTTCCAGGGAGCCCGCGGCTGCTGCCTGCCTCTGGAGAACCAAGCGCAAAAACCAGCGGGTATCCGGGACCCCCTGCAAGAAGCTTGAGAGAGAACAGACGATACAAAGGATGCAGCTTTCGATATATTTGCTGTAGGATATAATAACAGGCACGGTTCTAAAGCAAACACGGGCAGGTGCGCTAGAGCCGGAGCTTTTGCTTCGCTCGTTTGAACTTACGAAGTGCTGAGGCAGCCTAGTCTAGGAGCTGGGTTAGGGTCCGAAACGAGCTGCCCCCGCGTGCCCCGGGGAACATGCACGCAGCCCGCGGAGGAGATTCCCACACGGCTGCGTCGTTTTGTGCCTGGGAAGAGATGGAATTTGGTGCCAAAGAAAGGAAAAGCGGTCAATGGGCTCGGAAAAGCACGTTGTTACTCGGGGAGAGAAGCCGGCCCGTGCTTTTTCCTCCAGGTGCGGAGCGAGAAACAAAAAGGGGAAAGAAAAAAAAAAGAGCAACCAAGCGAAGTTTTGCCTTAGTCAAATACAAATCTAATAGGAAAGAGCTGTACATGGTCAAAGTCGAGTCCGGGCTCTGGGAACGTCCAGGACAGTTTCAGGTACGGCCCGCAGCTCCCCGGGATGTGCCCAAAACTCACGTGTGCGCTGCGAGTCCGACACGGGGACCGGCGTGGGGAGCGCCTCCAAATCCACGGGGCCACCACGGCTCTGTCCCGGCCCTCGCTTCGCCCACACGTGCACGGGGACGGGGGAGAGGATCTGTTCCAGTGGGATGGGATGGAGCAGGGCGCAGGATGAGCCAGTTTGGAGCCCTCCAAAGGGGGATGCTGCCCACTCGGACGCACCCCAACGCGGGCACGCGCAGCACCCCCAGGGGTGGCTCTGCCTCCGGAGCGGCGCCGCGGCACCGGGATGGGATCGAGGAGGATGCCGGGGATGGAGGCGTCGAGGGGCAGCGTTGGGCGGATTTTGGGGGTACTGTCAGAGGCCGGGGGTGCCGGCGGTGCTGGCGCAGCGTGGATCGGCGTCCTGCTCGTAGCGGTAGTGGTAGCCCTCCATCTGGTCACGGCAAGCTTCCCGCAGGTTGTGCAGCCAGCGCTTGATGCCGCGGCGGTTCAGGTAGAGCACCATGAGGAAGACGATGCCGATGAGGGCCAGCACGATGCCAAAAAGACGTAGGAGGCCGTCTCCAGCCTCCCGGCCTCTCCACCCTCGGAGGTCCCGCAGCCCAACCCTTCGGGCCGCAGGCGCAGCAGCGCGGTGCCGCGTAACGGAGGAGGCCCGGAGCAGCGCAGGCTTCGAGCGTCGAGCACGCGGGTGGCCGAGGAGCGTAGCCAAACCAGCAACGGGCGCAGGGCGCAATCGCAACGCAACGGGTTGGCTCCTAGGGACACCCGAAGCCCCCGCAAGCCCGGAGCCTCCAAGCTCCGCAGCTCGGCGGCCGCCAGCTGCTGCAGGGAGTTGTTGCGGAGGTCCAGCTCCTCCAAGCCGGAGGGCAGGAGGGCGAAGGGCAGCTCCTGCAGCCGTTGCCCGCCAGCTCCAGGCGCCGCAGGCTGAGGTTGCGCAGCGCCAAGGCGAGCTGCTCCTCCAGCGGGCGGCCAGCAGCGCCTGGTTGAGCTGCAGCGTGCGCAGCAGCGGGCGCCGGAGAAAGCGCCCGGAGCCACCGAAATCAAAGGGTTTTGGCTCAGGTCGAGGGTCCTCAAGGCCGGCAGCCCCTGCAGGGCCATGTCCTCGATGGCCTGGATGTTGTCGTGGCGCAGGCGGAGCAGGCGGAGGTCGGGCAGCGGGCGGCTGGTGGTGAAGGCGGCTTTGCGCAGCACGCTCAGGTTGCTGCCGCGATGCTCAGGTTGTGCACGGAGGCCGGCAGCTCCTGGGCGCTGGGCGGCTCGTCCAGCCGCTCGTAGCGGCACTGCACCAGCTCGGGGGTGGCCACGCAGTAGCAGGGGGACGGGCAGCCCCCGGGGGCGGCGGCGGGGGGCACGGCCAGGGGCAGCAAGGCGAGCCCCAGCCAGGGCAACCAGCGCCCGCCCGCCGCCCGCGCCTGCTTGCGGGCCATGCTCGGCACCCGGGCATGCAGGGGGGGATGTCGGGCAGGGCAGGGCCGGGGGGGGAGCCGAGCTGCCTCCCTTCCTGCCCCCCCGGGGCCGAGCAGGCTCCGCAGCTCGCTGCGCGCAGCCGGAGGCTCTGCTGGAAGCGCCGGGCGCGCCGCTGCCCAAATCGGGCTGGGGGCGGGAGGAGGAGGAGGAGGAGGAGGAGGGGAGGAAGGAGAGGGGGAGGAGAGGAGGAGGAGGAGGAGGAGGAGGAGGGGGAGGACGGGGGGGTTGCGGGCTGGGCGGAGGAGAGCGGCGGGCGGCTGCCGTCGGGGGTGCGGTGCTGCTGCTGCTGCCCGGCTCGGCTCGGCTCAGCTCAGCCCGGCTTGGTTGAGCCTGGCTCGGCTCAGCCCGGTTCGTTCAGCCCGGCTCGGTTCATCCGGCTCGGTTCAGCCTGGCTCAGTTCAGCCTGGCTCGGTTCAGCCCGGCTCGGTTAAGCCCGGCTTGGTTCCGCCCGGCTCGGTTCAACGTGTCTCGGCTCAGCCGGCTCAGTTCAACCCGGTTCGGCTCAGCCCGGCTCGGTTCAGCTTTTCTCGGCTCAACCCGGCTGGTTCAGCCCGGCTCGGTTCAGCCCGGCTTGGTTAAGCCCGGCTTGGTTCAACCCGGCTCGTTTCAACGTGTCTCGGCTCAGCCCAGCTCGGTTCATCCCGGCTCGGTTCAACCCGGTTCGGCTCAGCCTGGCTCGGTTCAGCTTTTCTCGGCTAAGCCCGGCTCGGTTCAGCCCGGCTCGGCTCGGGGCTGCTCGGATCCCTCCCAGCCCGGGGATCGTCCGGGGCTGTCCCGGTCCCTTCCCACCGCGGGTAGGGTTGGGGCTGTCCCGGTTTTCGCAGCCCAGGGAATTGCCTGGGGCTGTCCCGGCCCCCTCCAAGCCGGGGGAGAGGTTCGGGGCCACCCCGGTCCCCTCCGTCCCGGGGGTGTCCCCAGGTCCCCGCAGCATCCCCGAGCTCCGCAGCCCGGAGAGCGGCGGCTGCCACCGGGCACTCAGAATAAAAAAGCTGGCATCGGGCTCTGTTATCTCCTCCAGGCTTTATTTTATTTTATTTTATTTTATTTTATTTATTTTATTTTATTTTATTTTATTTTATTTTATTTTATTTTATTTTATTTTTATTTTATTTTATTTTATTTTATTTTATTTTATTTTTTTATATTTTATTATTTATATTTTTTATTTTATTTTATTTTTATTTTTTTTATTTATTTATTTTTATTTTATATTATTATTTATTTTATTTTATTTTCCACCTTCCTTTTTGTATCAGCTGCTCTAATCAGAGCTCCTGCCTGCAAAGCCTCCTCTGTCCTGCCAGGGCCGGGGGGCTGCTGTGGACGGGGAGGGGGGATGCGAGCTCCTGGCCATGGGGCACAGCTCTGGGATCTACACCAATTTTTTGGGGTGCAGAGGCAGCCGAGCAGCCCAGGGGTCAGGGTGTGGGTGCTGGACCCCTTGGGGTACCTACAAACCTCCAGGGACCTGAGTTGGGGTGCAATAATAACCCCCAGCCTGGGCAGATTTGCATTTTTCTTGGCTTTTCTGCTCTTTTTTTTGGCTTTTCTGCTCTTCCCTCCCCTGATCTCACACCCCACTTTTTAAAATCCTTTTTCCCCAAAGGATTTTTTTTTTTTTCCCCATCGGGATTCCCTCTCCCTGAACGTCCCCTGGATTCTGCGGGGACCGGGTGCGTTTTGGATGCCGGTGTGAGCGGGTGCCTTGCGCCTGCTCCCGGCCACCCTACATCGGGCTGTCAGGAAGGACAAATCCTATATTTAAAGTGTCAGCGAACGACGGCAGCCAGAGAAAGCCAGGGAGGGGTGGCAGGGGAGGAATAGGTTCAGGAACACATCAAATTTTATGCCGTGAATTATTTAAGCACGAGGCTGTGTCTGCTCTGGCACCGAAGGACGGGGAGCCCGATATGCGCAGCCTGAATGTCCCAGCCCCAAACCAGCTCGGGACCCAGCTGCGGGTGTGGAATTCACCCTTTCCCCTCTTTCCTTTTGCAGCCGCTGTTCCCTGGCCTCCCTCCAGCTGGGCTGAAGCTTTCCCGAGGTGCAAAACCCAAAGCTGAGCCCCCAGCACCCCAAGGACACCCCCGTCTCTCTCCATCCCCCAAGGGATGGGGCGCTTTGGGGTGGATGATCGGTGCGCACCGTTGTGTCCTCTTTCACAGCATCCCCGTGTCCTTGCGATGAGATTTAGGTTGGGATTGCTACAATTTGCTCCCAATAAATCAATCTGGACCATCACATTTTCTTCCCAAGGCTTCCGAAGAGCACCGAAGGCTCGTGCCACCAGCACGTAGCCGCCGGCTCTGCGGCATTGCCTCCCCTTCCCCACTTTGATGATGCCCATGGTATTTTGGGGGCTGCATCCCAGGATGTGGGTCCAGCCCTGGAGCCCTCTGAACCCATTTTTGCCACCACTGTTGCTTTTTTTGGCTTTTTAGCAAGGACTGGAATAAAAGGGCAGCCAGGGCTTTGGCTCACGCTCACAGCACGTCCACAGGAGGCTTGGGGTCCCCCAAACGAGGCTGAAGGCTCTCCTCCTCCTCCCCACACATCCCAAATCTAACTCTCCATGGGGTTTTCTTGCTTTTTCCTCGTGGTTTGTGGGCAGTGCTTTTGGGCTGAGGTTTCTGTGACCGGAGGTGTCGTAGAAACACTTTCAGCGCTGGCCAGCCTTAAACGGGCGATCAGCAACAGACGTTGCCCCTTGTCTCTTACAGGGGAAGATCCAAAAGCATAAAAGGTGATTATTATTATTTTTTTTAATTAAAAAAAAAAAAAATCATCTTATGGCCTTTGTGCCGCTCCTGGGCACATTTTCAAGTCTTGCTCCATGAGTGCAAAGAGGGAGTTTTTGCACAGGGAAAGGTGCAGAGGTTCATGCAGGGCTTTGGGGATGGAGACAGTCACGATAGCGGTGTGAGCTGGGACATTTTAATGCCACTGAAATCCACCCCCGTGCCACTGGAATTGCTCCTTTCCCTGCAGAAGGCTCCTTAGAAAAATGCTGGAAAATGAGGGGTGTTGTGCTGTGACCTTTCCAGGTGAAGCTGTTGCTAACAACTCGTCTTTCACTTTGAAAAAAACCTTCCACCTGTGTTTGCACAGGGCTGGCACTGAAATTAAAATTTTATTTCAGCTTTGGCTTCATCCTAGGTGACTTCCCTTCCTTTCTTGCTTGGATCACAAAAAAAAAAAACTTTTGTAAAATTCTGCTTTTAGCCCAGCTCGGGAGGCAGGAGAAGAACCCGGGGGAAGGTTTTGAGGTTTTGTGCTTTGCCCATGGCCAAGGGATGTCCCTGAGGAGCCTTCCCCTGGCTCAGTGGGTGCAGATAAGAAATGTGGAATAAAAGGCAGTGGGGATGGGGAGACAAAACATGCGGCCAGCACGTCCGGAGGCTGAGTTCTGCTTATTTCTGCTGGCACGAGCTCATCCTGGGCACGGCGGTGACCTGGGACCTCCTTGCATCACTGGCAGCACCCACATCCCTTGGCCACTGGGTTTAAAGATGTTTTTGGATGCGTTGTGCTAAGGGGTGCATATTTTAGGATGCAAATCAAAGATTTTGCATGAAATTTTTCGGGCTTGCAGAGCCACTTGCAGGCAGGTGAGCTGGGGAGTCGTGCGCAATCTGTTTGCAGATGGAGAGGTGCCAGGGGCAGAGGCATGGGAGAAATTCGGGACCTGCAAACTGCATGGAGCAGCTGGGTGCGAGCCCTGGGAGCACCACCGTGGCTTTTCATGCCAAATAAATGAAATCCTGGTCCTACCCACGATGTTTGATGCTTTGAGAACAAGGCTGAAGCTTGGAAGGTGCCAGGAGCAGGCGCTTTGGGTACCCGCGGCCAAGCTTGGCTTTGGTGCCTGCCCTGCTCATCGCATGCACGCAGCAAACGCTGCAGCGAGCCAGCAGCAAAAAAAAGGCACCTCTGGAAATGTCACAGAGCCCAGA